CCAGCCCCGACCTTGTCTTCGACCTCAGTTTCGATCGAAGTTCCCACTTCGGTCCCGGCCCCAGCTCCAGCCCCGGCCCCGGCCCCGGCCCCGGCCGCCGCCGTCCTGACCCCGGCCCTCTTGATGGGCGCCCTGACTCAGGAGGCCACCACGGCGTTGTTGCTGTCGCTGCAGCAGGGCAGCCCCGGGATGGCCGGGTCCTCGCAGGCCGGGTCCTTGTCGGGGTCGGCCCTGCTGGCGGCGGCGGCCGAGGCGGCGGCCGCCAATGCCGGTCTGTCGACCCCCCCCTCGCCATCGGTTCCGGGCCTGACCCCGGCCCTGAGCAGCAATCCCCCCGGGGGGGCCCCCCCGGCGCTGGGGGGGTCCTCCGGCGGCGGCGGCGGCGGCGGCGGCGGCGGCGGCGGCGGCGGGACAGCCAGTGGCGGCCCGTCGGCCGGCTCCTTCTCCCCCTCGGGGCCCGCGTCGAGCATGTCCTCGCCTCAGTTCCATGTGCGGTCGCATGTCGACTTTGCCGGGTCGCCGCTGCTCGCGGCCGCGACCCTGCCCAGCCCCAAGCGCCAGCGCCTGTCCCCGGGCCCGGGCGCGGTGTAGCCGAGTTCCCTCTCCTCCTTGCTGCCCCCCCCCCTCCCCCTCCTCCACTCCTCGTCGCCTTGCACTCGATCCTTGTTTCCTCCTTGAGCTGCCCTCCCTTCGCTCCTCCTCCCCCCCCCCTGCCTTTGGCGGCCGCCCGGTCCTTTCCTGCTGCAATCGCGCAGACGTGGACCGTGTGCGTCAGTGTGCACGCGAGCACGGCCCTCCCGCTCCTCCCCTGCGAGGGAGGAGGGCAGGCACGGCACACAATACACACGCCCCTTGTCCTTCACACGAGCGCACTCTTCTCTCTCTCTCTCTCTCCCTCTTTCTCCTTTTCTCTCTGCCATGTCGGGCGTTTCCCGTGGGAACGCGTGCTCTTTGTATGTATATGTGTATTTGTTTTGGGTCTGAGGAGGGGGATGCGCGCGCGTGCACGCGCGCGTTTTCCTCTCTGTCTCTCTCATGCTGCCCGGCGGCGGGGGAGGATGCGCGGGTCGCGCACGCGCGCCGAGGTGCCAGAGAGGAGAGGGACACACAAGGAAGGACATGGACGCACGCGCGCGCGCGCGCGCGCACGCTGAGGGAGAGGAAGAAGAGGAGAAGGAGGGGGGGGGGGATAAGAAAGAAAGAACACTTGCGTGCCATGTGACAGGGCACAGGGAGGGAGGCAGGAGGGAGGCATCAAGCATGCGACGGGGGTCCACCAGCCACTTTCACAGGAAGTAAGGGATGTAGAGGCGGGGCGGCTCGACGCTGAGCTCCGAGGCCACGGCCTCGAAGGTCTTGAAGGTGGGCTCCAGGTCCTCGCGCAGGGTCATGATGGATGCGACGTTGCCACAGCGGTAGCAGTAGTTCGGCGCCGACCACACGGTCACGAGGTTGCAGTCGTCGAAGAGGAACTTGTGGCCCTCGTTGACGAGCTGGTGCGCGCGGGCGATCAGCTGTAGCCCGTTGACGTGGGTGAACTGCCGACCGGCGAGGGGGGGGGGGGGGGGGGGGGGGGGGGGGGGGGGGGGGGGGGGGGGGGGGGGGGGGGGGGGGGGGGGGGGGGGGGGGGGGGGGGGAGTCATGAGTGGAGTGTGAGCGGAGGGAGTTGTGGTCAGGAAAAGGCCGAGGGCCCCGAGGGTGCGTCGGCAGGGGGCGCGGTTGGGGGGTGCGCACCTCCGAGGTAACCTTCGACCCGAAGAGCCAGCCGGCGCCGCGGGGGCTGATGGTCCAGTTCTCGAGGCTGGTGTCCGGGTCGGACCACATCAGGTCGCAGAAGGCGCCCTCGTGGGGGATCTCGCGGCAGCGCTGGATGGTGTGGATCTTGTCCAGGGTGCGGATGTCCGGCGACAGGCCGCCGTGGACGCAGAAGACGCGGCCATCAACGAGCTAGGGGGTCGTGTGAGTGTGGGTGCGTGTGTGGGTGCGCGCGCTGCCGCATGGAGGGCAAGGAGGAGGGGGAGGAGGGGGGCAAACGCACGGCGGTGACCGAAAGGTAGTCGAAGACGGAGCAGCAGTTCTTCCAGGCGCTGGCGTTGCCGTACTTCTTCATGCACTCGTCTGCGTGGCGGGAGGAGGCCAGGCGGCGCAGGCGTGGCGGCGGGGTCGGTCAGTCGGTGGCGGCGGGCAGCGGCCCAGGAGGCGGGCGGAGAGGGGGGAGGGGGGAGCGCGCCCCGGGGACGCACCGTAGAAGCCATAGGTCTGGGTGATCTGCCGGCTCTCGTGGTTCCCGCGCAGGAGGGTGATGCGGTCCGGGTAGCGGGCCTTCAGGCACATGAGGTAGGTGAAGGTCTCCAGGCTGTAGTAGCCACGGTCAACGTAGTCACCCTGGGGGCGAGGGGCGGCGGAGAGACGGACGGATGGGCGTGTGCATATACGTGTGCATGTGTGTGTGTGGGGGGGGGGAGAGAGAGAGAGAGTCAGTGGCAACAGGCACATGCGGGGCAGCGGCCGCGCCGGGGGGCGGGGGACATACCATGAAGATGTACGACGTGTCCGGGACCTCGCCACCGGTGCGGAACAGCTGCAGCAGGTCCGGGAACTGGCCGTGCACATCGCCGCAAATGGTGACTGGAGTAGAAACGGGCTGGATGTTGGACTCCTCCATGAGGATCTCCTTGACCTGGGGCGGTCCGACGAGGGTGGCGACAGCGGCGAGGGCAGGAGACCCGAAGGGGGGTAAGCGGGGGCCGGGCGTGGAGGCGAAAGGGGGCGGGAGATGCACGGGCTCTCGACGCACCAGGTCGCACAGGCGACGGAGATCCTGCTCGGGCAGGTACTTGCACTCCCGGACGATCTCAATCCAGTCGTCGAGCTGCTTCGTAGCCATGGTGCCTTTGGTGTGTGTGCGGGGGGGTGGTTGCTCTCACGCAACGGGGGAAGGCCAGGTGCGGGGAAGGGCGGCGGGGAGGGGG